GACAGAGACACAGAGAGATGAGAGATTAGAATCACTAAGGAGGACAGAATGTGTCATGGGAGAGAGAGAGAGAGAGAGAGAGAGAGAGAGAGAGAGAGAGAGAGTCATGGCGGAGGGAGAGAAAGGCTACATTCAGACACAAGTGGCTCAAATCTGATTGTTTTTGCTAACATGCGACTCAAATTTGTTCTTTTGATGACAGTGTGAACAGCATAAAGCACATTGAATCTGGTCTCTCAGATTTTGGTCAGATTCTTTTGTAATGCGACTTCAGTGTGCTCATCTAGACCGACTTCAGGACCATGACCTGTTGTCCCTGGAATCTGATTATGAAAAAATAGTTGAGACCTCGAATCTCTGGTGAAGTGTCGCTGCAGCCAGCTCATAGCTTGAGACGCTAGCTAACATTAGTGAGCGAGCACGTTAGCCCCGCAACACCAGCTGACAAAGTAACCTGCAAACGGCAAGTCAGCCAGTTTACCAGCTACACCAGTATGGAGGCTGACTGTATTTTGCTACGTTAGCTAACGTTAGCCAGTTCAAACCACAATATCGCAGTATATTTCACTAGCTTGGCAGTAATGTTAGCTTGGACTTTGGACTTGTTGGACCAGTCGTTCGTTGACGTTAGCACACTCCAGTTATAAGCTAACGTTAGCTAGTGTTGTGCACTGTTGACACTGTAGGGCAGTGAGAGAACGTACTCGGAAACACTTAGAAATGTAACATTCCTTGGATATTTCGCAAAGAATCCAACCCGCATCCCTACGTAGAAACACAGTCAACCAGGAGAGTCCAAGAAGGTTTCATTTTTTAAGTTGTTACAACCCGTTCACTCATAAAAAGTCATTTATACCTAAACACAATACATGAAATGCTTCACAATCTTACATTTAAATAACCATGTCTGTGATTATTCTGTGGTACTGTTTTCAATGAATGAGTGACTGTCTTTGGGGCAACAGTCAGTCACTGTCAGTCAAAACTCAGTCTTTGAAGCTTAGGTTTACAATGGCAGACATCATATCTCACAATCTCACAAAATGTCCACGTCTTGGTCTGATGCACATCTTCTACATTTGCATGGATGATTTTACAGATTTGACAGATTTTACTGATTTTCCTACCGTTGTATCCCCCAGACAGCACTGGCAACTTTAATTTTACACAGTAGGATGTCTCACTCAGCACATATCTTGGTCACAATTGATTATGTTACTTGCTTATGTGAAAACTGATTTAAAAAAGTCAGTATACAGTAGGTTGGGACACCTAAATACTGGTGATGGCATGAATAATTTGTTCAGGTAAGAAAGCTGATTAAATGCTGTCACCCCATTTCTAAACGAAGAAGAAGACAGATCACTGAGAATTTTAGGACAACTGAGACAACTGATTTTGCCTTATTTTACTTTCTGTGTTTGTAGTCAGTTCTTGGGTACAGTGTGTTGTGTTGTAGGTCTTCCTTTGCCCTCTCCTCCCACACATGTACACACCGATACCAACTTAAAACATGCTCTCCAAACCCCTTTATCTCCCTCTACCTTCTGCAACTAACGGTACTGGTGTTACGGCAAACTACATGTAAAGCAAAGCTCTCTGCTACTCTTGGCCCTTTTGGACTTTATCCAGCTGCTGTACCGGAGAATGATTGAGCAGACCACCCACCTCCAGCTAGTTTTAGTTTTTCAGATAGAGAGGAAAGTGTAGTGAGGACAAAATGACAGGTAATGCAAACTGAGATTCAGTCAAAACCAAGAGTAAAGCAGATGTATGGGTGAATAAGAGAAAGCCAAAGTGTCTTCAGTTCAGTTGTGCTATTGTGATTCATTTAGACTTTGGAGAGAGAATTGAGAGCTATTATTATTATTTAATATAAATTTCACTTAAAAAGCAATCACAAAATCAGTCGACTGGCAGTGCCTGTGTTGAAACAGGTCTTTATTTTTCAATAGCACTTTTGAAATGAGACTATTTTTTTGTTTTTTCAGTTGCATCACAAACCCTCTATTAACATCTTGTGCACCTGAAGGTCCCTCAAACTTAGGGCCACTCAACTGAGACATCTTATAACCAACTAATAGCCTAACGGGCTAATTCAGGTAAATTATGCTGAATTCACATAGAGCAGGCAGATGGTGGACGGCAAACCAGATGTCATGTTAGCAGATGAGAGCAGGGCGCTAAATGGAACTGCTGTCCAAAGTTATATTATTTTAACTTTTTGCTGTCTCATGCATATTTTGTTTGGCTATCCTTCCATTTTGTCTGACTCTTTATTTGTTTTTCCCATGCTGTCTGGAAGGTGATGCCCTTCTGCCGTCTGCCTAAATCCATGTGAGTGCAGCATTAATCAAAGCAACTAACGTTAATGTTAACATGTAACTATCAGCCATTGGTAACAGTTCTGCTTTTTTTCTCCTCTCTCCTCTTGTTTTCTTCCCCCTTTTCCTCCCCCCTACAAGTAATTTCCCCACGGGATTATTAAAGTATATCTGATTCTGATTCTGATTCTAGAAGGGGCCTAAAGCAAAAAACCCAAAGCTGACCCCAGTTCGACCTGACTGAACCTGACGGCTACTGCCAAATTTGAGACCCAAACCTTAAGACAGAACCCAAAGCTACTGTATGTGTATTGCCCTATTTTATTAATATTTACAATTGAAAGGAAGACAGAAGCTTTATGCACCAAAATGGCCCAAATGTGACCACTGACACCGGGGCTATATAAAGTTATTACTAATTAGAAGATGTTGTTTGTTCCAATAATTTTAAATGTAACTCATACAAACCAAGCTATAGAACTGTTGTTGTTTTGGAAATATGCGGTGCCTCCCCTGTGAGTGACAAGCTAACATTACAGTAAGACAGATGCATTTTGCAAAGTCAGCAATTTTGGTCGCTAAACACGTGAACGCCCCTATTTAGTGCCAGTGTTTGGTTTGTCTCTTGGACCTCCAACATGGCTGCCATTGGGTTTAAATAAAAACTGTTTGACCTCAACCAACACACAGCGTACACACAGACACACACTATGTGAACTGGCTTGGTCAGTGAATCGATCAGATCCTCCACAGCTGTTAGAGAATGTCTGAAAAGCCAGTGACTAACAGACAGCCCATTGATCGACCTATGTGTGTGTGTGTGTGTGCGTGTGTGTGTGTTCACCAATGCATGATCAGTGTGGTTAGGAGGTCACCGCACAAAGTCATTTGTCTGACTCCCAACTAATCACACTAAACAGTGATGTGGACAGAGAGGAGGTCCCTGATGGTGCGACAGAAGGCACAAAGCAGATGGAGATTTAAAAAAAGCGTATTTGGGGTCTTATTTAATTAAAATCATAACTGGGTCATTCTGGTACTGTGCGATTTGTTTCATTCTGATTTAGTTCAGAAATACTAGTGGACTATTTCGTTGCACTGGAGTGTAATGTCACAGTCCTAGTGTTTAAAACAGAGGTGTTTCCATGCTGGGGTGCACACAATTCTTAGTACTTTTGGTTATTATTTACATGTTAGAAATGAATGATTTTTGATAGCAAATATTTCAGCTCAGCAGCTTCATTCTAACATACACAATTCCAACCTTACAAACAAACCTACAATTTACCCTGCAGGTTGTGAGCATGATAAAACATGCACCCTGCATGATAAAAACTCTGTTTAATCCAAGTTCTCGTCTCTTTCTGAAGCAGAACAATGACGGCAGCCTGCCATCTAATACCTGAACAGAAACTTTGGAAACTTTAGTCTTTGAGGATTCTGAACATATAAAGTGTTTTTTATCAGTGGTTGCCCCACTTTGGGTCGCCAAAGCTTCACAGGGGGTCATGTGGCTTTCTTGATTTTAAGGGGTGTAAGAATTATATACAGTTGGCGTATATCTGAGCCATTTATTTCAGTTTTCAGTGAACACCTGAGCACACGCTATATTCACAGAGCCTTCACTCTCTGATAAACCGCCTCATCCTGCATTAGAAAAGGTTTCAGTTACAGCAACCAAAGAGCTAATAAAACAATGAGTGGAAAACACTGAATGTGTTTTTTTTAAAAGCCTATTACGTATGATTGTTAAAAATTCAATAAATACATAATACAGACAGATAATTGTATAAACAGCTTATACATATATCAGGAACACTCATCTCAATATTCACAGGAATTGGGTCCATTATACATTTCATCTGTTGTTCTGTATTGTTATTGTTATCTAACATTAAATATCCATACAATATGCCACTCAGTGGGGGGTTGTTAGTTTACTCAATGATAGAAATGGGGGAAAAGGTTGGGAACCACTGCTCTGGAGAAACATGCTCATACATGGAAGGCACAAACTGGGGCTACTGAAATGCTCATTCTCTCCAATCCTACAGAAGGTGTGTGTATGAAATGGAGCCGTGTTTCCTTTCATCCCAAGTGACATGACGGAAAAACCCCATCATTTCCACAGATTTCGACATTTCCAGAAAATTGACAGCACGTGAACGCAACACGTCCATCCGCGCTCTATATCAGCTTGGTTAAAACCTCTCTCTTAATACAAATGTTCTCCGTCTGTGTGTTACAGGCAGGAATAAATCATCAGAAAGACACAGAAGCTACGGTACTAAATGCACCCAGTAATCGTCCCAGAATATTCCCACAGCGCCGCATAGCGCATCTGTGGGACTGAAGAGAGTTTCCATCAACCTTATCGATCTTAGAGGTATTTTTTTCACTCTTTCACAATCTCTCTGTGATGTTCAAGCGCTATTTGTCTGGGATCTTTCTAATATGCATTACAGCGTCACTGCTGAGCCTTTTCCCCGACAGCACCCAGCGCTGCGCAACCAAAACATCCCAGCCTGACCCGCTTAGAAAGACTGAACCCTTGTTTTCACCGGTGAACGAGGCTTTCGGCGGAGAGAACCGACAATACGAGCAGAATACGAGCGGCAGAGACACAATGGGAAGTTGGGGAAAGGACGCGAACGACGGTGGAGCCGGGTTACTTACGTCTCTGTAGAAAAGCCATGAAGATGATGGTGCTGATGGTGCTGAGGAGGGTCGACATGACTGGAGTCTGACATCAGCAGTGGATGCTGCCGTGTGTGTGTGTGTGTGTGTGTGTGTGTGTGTGTGTGTGTGTGTGCGCGCGCGCCTCCTCCTCCCCTCTTTGACCATGCAACGATGAGGGGAGGCGGGGGGAGGACTTTCAACGGAGGAGAAGCAGCTTACATTACTTAGATATTGCTGGATCCACAGTGGGAAAGGGTGATTGTAGTGTTTAAAATCAGAAGCTGAAGAATTGATCAATATTTCTGTGTTGCACAGATTCCTTTATGGTTACAAAGTACAAACTATATGCAACATCCAATGTTCTATATAGGATAGGATAGACTTTATTGATCCCACACTGGGGAAGTTCACTTGTTACAGCAGCTCCAGATGTCTAACACAGAAAAAGAAAGAGATACACATTAAATAACAAAGAAATACAAAATATCAAGAATTTCTTTTTATTTGCATTGTATGTACAAACTATATACAGTATGATTATACCGATATGATTTAAAGTTAAATTATAATATTGCACAAGTTACAGAGGGAGGTAGTGGCATATTGTAGAAATAAATGATACAAAATTACACCGGACAAAAAAAAATAAATATATATATATATATTATATCATATATAAATAAATTATTTCACAGGGCTATGAACAGGTCTAAGACTAAGTGTATGTAAGAAATTAGTTATGTATATATACATACTTATGAGGACTTTACAGGTAGGGCAAGCAAAATTAAGTGACTATAGTATAAAAAATGACTATGGTATTGTTGCTGAGTTATAAAGTCTGATTGCTGCTGGGATGATGGACCTGCGGTAGTGCTTCTTCTTGCTCTGTGGGTGCAGCAGTCTGTTGCTGAGGGAGCTGCTCAGGGTTCCCAGAGTTTCATGCAGACATCAAGATTATCTTCGTCTCTTTCAGGCTTTTCATCTGCCATCATCTGTTTATTGGAAGTTTTCAAAAATTATAATGAATTCAGCCTAATGAAAGATATCCTAAATCTGTTTGTTAAGATGCAGATCATGTTCATACACATCCACTCCCAGACACTTCAGTGTTTGTATGTGGAAGGGGCAGGGGTTGCAAAGCAGGGGCGCCACCGCTACAATTCTATTTATACACGTGTTTTGTTTCTCTTTTTGTGACTTTATTTATTGTGGAGAAATATGAAAATCAATAAATATACAGAGTGAGGTCCAATAGTATTGAGTCTTGTGGCAAAATGGCAAAAAAAAATCTGACTTCTCACTTGATTTATGAGCTCAGTAAACATTTTCCTAATGAGTTCCTAACAACACTTTTATAATTGTTGAAGCAAAAGCTAATATTAGGCTATAAAAAAACTACACATGGTTGCATTCAGGCCTTCATCATCACCCCCTCTAACTGCCAACGTGTAATTAAATCTAATTTAAATCTACAATTCAGAAAGTTTGAGTTAGAATCGTGAGCAAGAGCATGTATACAGTATACAGTAAACACAACGAGGCTGTAAAGGAGGACTAATGAGTGAAAAGACCTCTGTGTTTGGCATGCAGATGTTTAATGTCGCCTCTGTATTCTCATTTGACCACTTGTTACCTTTTTAAGACATTTTAAAGCTTTGAAACTCTCAGGTAGTGTATTCACTGACATATTTTCTGTTGTAGAACAAAATGTGAATATTGACCACAGATCTCATTTAACCAAAAACCCATTCAAAAAACCCGTTGACTTCGAGGCGACGGAACCAGAGTTGCTAAAATATTAACTCAGTTTCGGGTTTTTGGACTCATTCCTGAAGTACTCTATTCGACCAAGCAGCCGATTGACGTCAATGTGTGGTGTCGCGTGTAGATAATAACATTAGAGTCATCTTGAGGGCTCTCTCCATTGAGACCCTGGGCAATTACTGTAGTTCCACTCAGCAATGCATTCAAATTGTGTTACAGTGATCTAACACTGCTCCTGCTGGTTCAGTGGAATGCACAGAAGAGCTTTCACTGCTGAATGATGCACCAGTGTCCTGTCTTTTATGGAGAATATGTTTGAGTTGTATTTGTGTGGATGTATAGGCAGTACAGTGTCACATCTGCCTCATCACTCAGACACACATGCACATAGGCACACTCAAACATGCTGACGCGTCATGACGTCAATGTTATAAATAGGTTAATGATGAATGTGGAGAAGCGCTTGACATGGAAATGGAGCTTACACACACACACACACACACACACACACACACACACACACTACAGCACAGATACAGTGTGTTGTGTTGCTGTTAATGCAGATGTGTATTTTTCGAGTGTACAGGGGCGGATCTAGAGAAATATTCATGGGGTGGCAAGAGGGTGGCATGGAGACTTTAAAGGGTGGCAGAAATATATGCTGATTTAATCCCAAACAATCACATTTAACAATATTTGCTTGGAAAAGCTTTTTAATATTTTAACTCAAAAGTATTACATTATCGTAGCTCATTAAAGCATTGAATAGAAATACCAAAGGGGGCATTAGAAATCAATACATAAGTTTTATTTCCAAATCTTCAGACAATTTTATCTAGCCTGTAAGTGGTCTAAAATGTGGCTATAACAAAAATGTAGCCTACATTAGTTTTAGTCATTTGTCACATTCAAACACTAAAGACATATAATTTAGTTCTAGTCAGTGACATTTAGTCATTCTTATTGTGCAGGCTATGTCTTGTAAGCATTTAGAGCCTACAGCTGTTGCCATCTTTGCGGCCTACAGTTTCTTTCAGGTGTTCTAGTTTATTGTGACGTTAATAGAAACGGTAATGTTTACTTGTTCACACACAATGTGACTCAACAACAGACTGACTCTCTTCAGTATATAGGCTAAGCATATTATGATTCTAAACTCTAAACCTCTCTCTCCCTCTGTCGTTCCTGCTCAGCCAGCATTAGCATTAGTGCAGGTAGCCTAGCTGTTCGTGAGTGCTGCAGAGATGATGTCATTTTCTAGGCCAACCTGGAAGTTGGCATTGTGCTGGTTTTTGTGTGTGTGCTTATTTTATGAAAATCAATAAATATGCAGAGTAAAGTCTGATAATATTCAGTCTTTTGGCAAAATGGCAAAAAACCAGATGATAAAGCTTTTGGGCGTGGCTACCTTGTGATTGACAAGTCATTCTCAGTGAGAATACACAAAACTCCTACTTGTACCATCCACACATGACTTCAACAATACCTTCCCCCTTTACTAAAAGTTAATGTTACCAAGCTGTCACACCGATCAAGACTGTGAAAAGTGAGTGAATTTTGAAATGAAAGTGAAATTACCCACATGTGCACTTTGGAAAGGATTAAAATCACTGACCAGGGCAGGCAATGAGAAAATCACCCCACCTCCACTACAGAAATAAATCCTCCCTGAATCAGTCACTGCTGTGTTGTTGAGTCTGATTTTCTATTTCCCTGTGACTCGAGTGATAAATTGTCCAATTTTACAGTCTGCCCTGCACAGATCCACGCTGTGTGGATGTTTCTGTGTGAAACTTGTTCTATACACTGTAGTCTATTATATGGTGATTTTTGAAGCAAAATGAAGAAACGAAGAATTTCAGTTTCAGGGCTGTTTTTAGAAAATAGATATATACATATATAAAGTTTTATATAAAATAATTACTGAGAGCTGTTGGATTTCCATTGGTAAAGGGTATGGACTGGCACGTCAAGACAAAGCAGCAGATCAGTGCTCAGATATACTAGCAATGCTTTTGCATCACTTGGAGGCATTTGAATGGAAGATGAAATAAAAAACTTGAATCATTCATTTGAAAGCATAAGCACTTTCTCTGTGGTTAACTGGTTTAATGTGGAGGGATGCCATTTACCTTGTATTGGTATTAAAATTAGATCCCTGCTGGACTGCATGCAACAGTTAATGAACAGTTAAACCTGGACACAGTCCCTTTGGTTTGCTGTCTCAGTGGTTTTAAGAGCGGGGGGGGGGGGATGTCTGTCTGCTCGTCAGCTCTGCTGCTTACTGTGTCAACTTCTCAAACATGAGTCCACTGGCCTACATTCAGCACATCCCTAATAGCACTTCTGAGTCCAGGATCTTTGCTTTGTTGGTCTAGATTAGAAGCTGATTAATCAGAATTAATTAAAACACATCTTTTCACCCGATGTGGTATATGTCATGTAATAATTAGCTAATCATGCAACAATAAGCCCAGGTTATGGAGATGCCAGTAGAAATCTGAAACAAGTTCATTATGCCCATGGGCATGTGGTCATGTTTATTGAGTTCGCCAGGCTAGTTTGCCAGCTAGCCAGGTGATTCGCCAGTTAGTTGCTTTGCTAGCTGGTGTTTCGGTTTAACTGGTGACTTTCACGTAACGTTAGGCGTTCTCCTAAAAAGTGCTTTATAGTTTAATAATTTTTCATCTGTCTTTAATATCTAAGTATCTAACCATTTATGTAAGTTCAGTTGTGTTCAGAAGACGTATTAACCTCTCGTAACTTAACGTATCTTAAAATGTGAGAAAGTCACCCGTTAACACGGTCACCAGTTAAACCGAAACACCGGCTATAAATGAAAGCGCTTGTTTTTCCTGAAGCTTTTAATGTTAAATGTAGAGATAACGATAGATAGATAGATAGATAGATAGATAGATAGATAGATAGATAGATAGATAGATAGATAGATAGATAGATAGATAGATAGATACTTTATTCATCCCCAAGGGGAAACTCACAGTTTCCAGCAGTATCCACAAACTGAATAATAATAATAATAATAATAATAATAATAATAATAATAATAATAATAGTAATAACAAGAGGAGGTCAATTTAGAAGAACTAATAGAATAAAGTAGAATAAATAGCTAAATAACGAGCATGGGGCTAGTGTCCTAAGGTGCATGGTCAAATCCAGTGCTTGAAAGGCCTAAGGTGCATAAGTAGTGTCAGTCAGTCAGTGGTCCAATAATGCAGGGTGCACTGCGTCAGGTGGTATAGTTAACTAAAGGGCAGACATATTGGAGTTTAGAGTTTTCCTCCCCTGGGTGGAGTTGAAGAGCCTGATGGCGTGGGGGAGGAACGATCTCCTCAGTCTTTCAGTGGAACACGACAGTGACAGCAGCCTGTCTCTGAAGCTGCTCCTCTGCCTGTAGATGGTCCTGTGCAGTGGATGCAGTGGATTGTCCATGATTGACAGGAGCCTGTTCAGCGCCCTTTGCTCTGCCACAGATGTCAGTCTGTCCAGCTCTGTGCCCAACACAGAGCCCGCCTTCCTCACCAGTTTGTCCAGACGGGAGGCATCCTTCTTCTTAATGCTGCCTCCCCAGCACACTACTGCCTTCTGAGGAAGTATAATCGGCTCTGACCTCTTCTGCACAGGGCA